ACAGTGTTCAAAGTATATGAACAACATCTATAATCATTTGTTGAACTAAGAAACATATGGAGTTTCTCTTTCTTTATATATATTTATTTATAAGTATTACAATCCTCTTTATTTTGTAAAAGCCAAGCTAATCTGTACTCACTTTTATATATATATATATATATATATATATATATATATATATATGCAGTGGGTCACAGGGTACTCACAACCGTCGAGTCTCTCAAAAGTTCACCCTAAAAACTGTTTAAATAGCCAGTTATGTTACCCTAGTGTAAAAATCTACCTTCTCAGATGAAATTCAGAAGTCATATTGTTTTTATTTTAACAGTTTTTAGAATGACCTATAAAGTCATTCGGGTAATCAATTCGTTTTCTTTCTTTTGGCTAAAAAGTTGATTTTACGTAAAGTACAAAGACTTGATTAGCTATCTCGATACTTGTTAGAATCGGCTTTAATGTCAGTCTCGAATAGGATCATGTATATTGCTTCAAATTATCATGACATGTATAATTGATAAATTTGAAAAGATATGTATATTTCAGTTCTTCTTCTACTGAAAGGTATAATCAACTAATCAGAGAAAACTTCTCTCAATTAGGACTTGACTTTCTAGTAAATATAAGCTAAACAAGTATAATAAAGTGAACAAATAGGGCTAGTTAATTAGTCAAATTTAAATGAAGCAGAATAGAAGTGTAAAAATACTGATAGGTAAAGCAGTACAACTGTTCTATATTAGGTTTTAATGGTAATATCCTTCGATAAAACGCTAATCTTTGGGAAATTCTCCTCTCAAGTACACGCATACAGAAACAAAAGGAGTCAGGAATACTTACGGTCATTTCATTTAGAATTGTATAAATGAGATCTATGTCAACTATACAGAAGTCAACTAAATGAATGAAAAGTATGCTATTCAACAAATGGTTATTCACTAATATGAGGTAAATAAAAATTTCATCATCGAATGCTTTCAGGCGGTGTAATCAAAGAAAACATAACATATATCAGGTTTTCAGAGCAATGTAACAAGGGGGAAATTAAGATGATCGAAAAGCAAAGTTCCAGGTGACTTTAAAGGCTACCCTTGAAACTAATGAGACAACCTATTACATCCTTTTATCTTATGGAAAAGTGCTTTTCCCGAAGAAATATCAAAGTCTGATTGCTGATTTCAGCAGTTTCTAGGGTGATCTTCAAAGTCACTCCTCATTTTTTTTTCTTTTAGCGAAGCATTTCGCTGAGGTTATCCCAACAACTGTTAAGATAACCAATTACTTCCCTTTGTTGTATGAAAAACTACTCTATCTGTAAAAATTCTGAAGCTTTAATCGGTTAATTTAGGAGTTGCTAAGGTGACCTTTAAATTTATTTCATTTTCTGGTAGGTAATAGGAAGTTATGCATAATTCTTGTACGTCAGTTTTCATGTTTTATTCATTCAAGATTGGTTTAAACAAGAATATGAAAACCTAACAATCTTAGGTTTTCTAAGGCAAATCTAGTAATGTGTTTATTAGTTTACTACAGTGAACATGATTTCATTCAACGGTTGGGTTGGTATAAATTCCATGTCATAAGTTTCTGAACGACAATGAATCATACTACTTATTACCTATAAATGAGTAAGCATTTTTCATGGTTATTTTCTAAGCAACTGTCATAAATTTCGTTTAAGATGATTAGTGGTTAGTATTTATGCTTTTTATTATCTAAGAAGGATTCACAACCGAACGGTTTTTACAACGGTCGGTATATTTATCCAACATGCATAGCTTGTCATAGGAGAACTTCATTGGCAGGTAAAAATATTACCTGGGACGCTATACTTTGAGCATTTAACCTCCAAAAGCAAACTAATTAAATTCACCGTTCCTTGGACAACTATCCAATTTCAAGTTGGTATTTGTCACAAACTGACATCAGCAGCGTGCACCTATGACTTCGCCGAGGACCAAGGCCAGGACACTCAAGTTTCACGTAGAGCACTTTACTGTTGAGTCACTAGGTCAGAATCTACTAGTTCATATTTGTCTACTTCTTGTATTTCACGACCATTGGGGTAAACCAAGTTGAACATGAGGATGGTATCTGTTGAAGGTCACGTTATATCGCTAACTGAAAGAAGTAGGAAAATGTGGACCATCGAATTTCGGTTCAGTGGCTCAATGTCAGCGTTAACGTCATGGGATCTGAATGTCCTCGGTTCAATTTTTGGGGAGATTGAGAGTGTGTACTGCTAAGGAATCTTGTTCTACAGCGAAACGGCTGTCCAGTGCTCTCAAATTTTCAGTGGTTCTGTAGTCCACATCAGTCCTTGATGAATACCAGCTTGAAATCAACAAATCCCCACATACCTCTAAGTTGAAATATTTGTTTATTTATTCAGCTACATTTCCTGTCGTTATGATTATCATTTTAAGCCGTTTAACAAAGAATTGTGTAAAGCGAAGTGGAAATAAGCTTTGTGTATCTCTCCCTTCAAAGTCACTTACTTATTCACATAGGCATTGTTAATGGTCAACTTGCAGTTAATTAGCTAACACATCTTTAAGTAGGTTGAAATTCCTTTCCACATTTTACCAAGTTCAAATAGTTGCTTTCTAACATAATTATAAAACAAACAATATGAGCAAAGAAATATTTCTTTTCACTTAGTTCCTCATCAATGGCTCTACACTAATATAGAATTTTCAAAAGTAAAATTACATACCAATCTAGTGGTGAGAGTTGTTCAATGAAAGGTTATCAATCTCAAAGTTTCAAGAAGATGATAATTGATAAGGTAATTAAGACAGTTAACTAAAGCAAAGATTAATTATCGTAGAAAGATTTTGTGAACAGGTTCTTACATAGTTGATATTTTATATAATGATAACTAAAGAGCAAAAATGAACTGTTACGTAAAATGGTAAATTGTTGACAGTAATTAGAGACAGTAGGGGGAGAGAAAGATGATTAAGTCTGTAATAATGATAATAATGGAGCTATTAAAATATTAGTTATAGTGAATTGTGTGGTGGATGAAATGAAGAGTCTTGTTGTAATAAATGAGCTATACAGATGGCCAAGGCAAAGAAAGAGGCTGTACGAATCTCTTCTGAACACACAGACTTGGCTTGTGTAGGTGGATTCCTATGGCTTCTGCTGTATGTAAAAGACGGACTCGTAGAGGATGGGTGAGGTGAGAAGGAATGTGATAAATAACTTTAAAGGCATTATGAATGTTAACTCGGTGGCCGGTATCAATCAGATGAGAGAGTATTGGGCTTCGTGTCAGTCTAGTTTCCCCCTTACTTAGCCATGAAGGATGATGCTCGGCGATTCGAATCGCCGAGCTCATTTATTACAACAAGACTCTTCATTTCATCCACCACACAATTCACCATAACTAATATTTCCACAGCTCCATTATTATTATTATTATTATTATTATTATTATTATTATTATTATTATTATTATTGCAGACTTAACCATCTTCTTCTCCCCCTACTGTCTCTAATTACCGTCAACAATTTACCATTTTACGTAACAGTTCATTTTTGCTCTTTAGTTATCATTATATAAAATATCAATTATGTAAGAACCTGTTCACAAAATCTTTCTACGATAATTAATCTTTGCTTTAGTTAACTGTCTTAATAACCCGATCAATTATCACCTTCTTGAAACTTTGAGATTGATAACCTTTCATTGAACAACTCTCACCACTAGATTGGTATGTAATTTTACTTTTGAAAATGCTACATACATTAGTGTAGAGCCATTGATGAGGAACTAAGTGAAAAGAAATATTTCTTTGCTCATATTGTTTGTTTTACTAAATGTCTAAATGGGAATTTTTGCAAAATTATAAAGTAAAGAGCATGTTGCATGAGAGTGATAACGCTACTTGTAACCCTGTAGAAAGTAAGCTATTTTAATGTTGATAGATAAACTATTGAATGTAATGAATGATGTTTTGTGCATTTTGTAAGTATGGAAAGTTTGTGTTTAAGAACACTTCTCATTATGAACCTATATGATTAGAAAAGGATAGGAAAAGTTTTTGTGATTGGAATCGAACACTAGTATTCACTTATAATCTTTTTCAGTGTTTAATCTATGAAATTTGGGTTTCATAGTTAACGTGTAACCGCGTGGATACGTCGACCGTGGTATACTGGTTGTAAACTTCCACCGAAGTGTAATATATCATGTAACGTGAACATGATAAGGAATATCATTGGATTCGTATTTACCTAGAATAATCAAATCTCTATTTTCTAAAAGATAGTCATGATATATGGGAACAACCAGGTACATCTACAAAAGTTACTTGAGAATAAGATAAGATAACTGTTGAATATGTCACATATTGGCTAATATCGATTACCACTTTATGGATACGTAACGACATGTTTGTCAAGTAGTTTGACTGTTCTTAGTAAAGGCTGTTAGGAAAATTAGGTGGTAAACGCTTTAAAAGGGTGGAAAAATAGAATACTTGTCGTCCAAGCCTTGCTTTCAATGGTTTCTCCAGTAACATTACTCTGGAAAGCATACTAAATGAATTCTTAGTTATGATTATATACGGTGGTCTAATCTAAAGAAAGAGTAGGCTACACTATCTTATAAAACAGAGTTTGATAAAATTTATCCTAAAATGTAAAACATAGATTTAAGAAAAACTTTGAAAGACATTCTCATACCTTGGATTCTAATGGAACTTTGAAAAGTACAAGTTCTAAGGCAGATAAAATAAATGATTATCAAGATATTCTTTATGTGCATTTTTCTACACTTTTCAACTTGTTTTACCCCATGAAAGTTTTATAAAATGCTGCAATATGATGACCTTGAAAGGTCAAAATATTTCGAAACTATATAAATGTTTAGCAGTATGATAATTTACAGGATGAAATGATTTTCTAGAGATTATACATTATTGTAAAATGTTTATAAAATTATGAAAATTTACAAATCTATGACTTTCTTTCTTTATTTTATATCTTAGTGATGATGGTAAATCTGAGGCAAAAATCCGTATGGAAGTAAGTTATATCATATTTCAAAGATGTAAATAATTCATTTAAACCTATTGTTAGATGGAAGCTAAGCGTAGAAAAGAGAGAGCTGAAGAAGAATGGAGAGAATATGAAGAATTTCGTAGAGGTGAACGAGAAAAAGAAGAAGAAGAGATACGTCAGTTAAGAGAACGTAGAGTAAGTTTTAATTACCGTTGTTCTTTTCTCTCCTTATTATAAATGTGATAAAGAACAACTCTTAGACATAATTCTTCCGGCCATGTTGATATCCCGAGCCTAATATCTTGCTATTCTTATGCCTTGTGATTTCCTTTATATAATGAATTAAGTACTTACAATTGTTTCTTTTCTCTGTAAGGTGTGCCATCAAAGTATACCAATGTCTTTATTTATTAAGAACTAGTTTGCAACTGACATTGAGAAGCAATTCAAAATTTTATTAAATATTTATCACAGAGAAACCTATTAAGTATCTGTTGATTTCAAGAAACCTGCCTTCAGATTTATCTTCAAGGTCAATGAAAAGAAGCGCGAAACTAAAATTTCTACCTTCCTTTGGATTATTTCCATTCGTTTAAAAACTAAACGAAGTGAAGCATAAAGTCTAGTTACTTTTCAGAGTATTGATACTGAAAACAAGACCAGCAGCATGTATTAATGACTGATTGTGAAAGAGAATGGTACTGATTACAGTTGAATAATGTAATTATAAGATAAACACAGTACATAACCAATGAATACCACAAATAAGCTAGTAATTGTAGAGGTAAAAGCTATTTTACCTCTCAGGGAAAATAGTCGAAATGGAAGTACGATACTAAACTTGTAACGCTTTAAATCGCTTAGTAGTTAACCATAATAACACTGAATAGCATCGACAGCAGGCACGAGATATGTTTTTAGGAGTTGGACTACTAGGAGTATTTTATCGTACATCACAATCTTCATTGTTCCATTCCAACAGAAGATAACTCTTCAGAATGACTTTATTGAGATTAAGCGAAGAGACGGACTCCACTGACACTATCTAAAGAGTAGAACTTCATGAATTGTTATGATGATATATGCTTGGTACTGGCTAGCAGGGAAATTTGGGATGCAACTTATCAAACCGGGAGTTAGATGTAAATACTAATGAAAGTATTCAAACCAGATCGATAGAAGGAATATCTGTAGTAGAAAATAGCTGCTAAATTTGAAGAATATGAAGCATGTTCAACTTACGATCTATAAGTTCTTTGTAGAACGCTTAGAATATTGAATCACAGACTACTGTATTTACTAATCGTATAATTGTATTTGTATAATATTAAGTTTTTACCAGCATGTATAGTGGATCCACTTGACAAGAGAGTACATCTATTCGTTCTGAAACAGACATATTAGTCCGGATAAGATTTCGGCTTAACTCAGCATCCAATATTTACTAACCCTAGAATCTAAGAAATTTCATGAATGATCTGTTTGAGATTTTTCAAGTATTTCAGTTTTAGATTCCTTTGCTAAGTGGTTTTCTTTAAGCTCTTTTAATGGATAGGTTAGGAAACATATTTCTCCTTTCTCATTTATGAGATATCATCTAGTTTCGAACATAGCAATATAACTAACTACAACTTAATAGCATCTCCAACCTTAAAGGACTTCTGTTATTATTATTAGTAGTAGTATTTATTATTGTTATTGTTCGTCCTTTGGGTTCCTAGTGAAACATAAGACTTCAGTAGCACGTTACCATTTCATTCTCTTCTCTCCAGGCTTTTCAATCTGCCTCCACCATTACCCACAAGCTTTCATTTCTTCCTCACACCATCTCAATATCACCTTCAGCTCAGACGCCCAACTCATCGTTCCTCATTTGGGTTCCACTCGACAGCCTGACCTGGCCTAAACTGGCGTGTGATGTCCCAAATGATCTTCTCAGTGCGTGTCTGATCCAATCCATCTCCACTTTCTTCTACATATTTGTTGAGTGTTAGGCTGTTGGTTGGTCCATTGCTAGCCAGAGTTCCTTGTTGCTTATTCTTTCTGGTCATTTAATCTTCAGTATCGAGTGAGTGAGCGAGCTTAGGCGGCAACTGTTCATGATATATGTCTTCAGTTTGTTGGAAATGTTTTCCATAACGCCCCGCCAAGTCTTTCGACTATCACATAGAAACACTGACTCACTTACTGATATTCGTGTTGAAAATCCGATGTTGTTCACGCTTTATGCTGAGTGGAGTGGAGTGCAGAAGATCTCCACATTAGTTTCAGGTGAATGAACACCTGTCTTGCTGTCTTTCCGATCCTGGCTTTGACATCCTCATCTCTACCACCTGTAGCTGAAAGGATGCTGCCACAGTGGATGAAAGAGACAACTTCTTTAGATCTCTCCCGTTCATGGTGATTGGTGCTTGTTGATGTTGTCGTTGTTGTTGTTCGTTGGGTATCTTCATCACCTCTGCTTTCTTTACATTCACCTGAAGTCCCGTCTTCGCTGCAAACTTGTTACTTTTCGACGGTAGATCTTCGACCTTGTGCGGCGTAAGATATTGGGCATAAATCATCATCGTTGGCAAAATCCAAATCGTGTGGGGTCTTTTCATCGGTCCAGTCAGCGTATATCCATCTTCTTGCTCTTCACAGTTGAAAGACGTCTATACTCTACGAAAAGTTTGAACCGTTTGTACATGATTTGCAGTCGGATGCTATGACTGAACTATTGGTACTGAGATTGAGTGTCTACAGTGCTGCTAGTTACACTGATGGCACAGAAGGTGTTTTTTGAGCTTTTTTTAATGACATATTCGTCAATAATAATCTAATCTGTTGTAGATCATCGAACAGTTTATGATTTTGAATACTACCGAACTACATGCGAATTGTATGTTGTTATGATTTGACATCTTTTTTTCAAAGGAACGACGAAAAATGGAACGTGAAGAAGAAGAAAAACGATTAGCAGAATTACGTCAAATTGAAGATCAGAAAAGGCGAGCTGAAGAAGTGAGTTCCATCTCCCGGTTTCATCATTTTAACCAATAACAAATTAGTCTGAGTGCAGTCATATCAAGTAACCATATTGATATGAAACTAGCTTATATCTCACTGACAGTGCTCCGTACTGCCAAGTCTTCTAAATTCGTCACCACATTACAATATTTCAATCTGGAGGTTTGTGGAGACTTATTATTTAATTTCAAATTGGAATTCATCATGGACAGACATCAGTTAGAGGACCACTGGAAACCTGGGGATGTATAGACGGCTGTTTCGTTCTAGCATAGGACTCTTCAGCAGGGCGCACCCATAACCCCACCAGAGATCGAACCCAGGACCATCCGGTTCCTTGACCAGCACGTTAGCCATGAGCCGCTGGTCCATATTTCCAATTTCTGTCAGTTCACGATGTCCAATGTCATCATTGAGTAACTGTCTTCATGTTCGACTTGATTGACTCCATTGAACACGACTTCTCATTGGAACTTACGGGATCACCTCTTGAATCTGGTCACCAGTGAGATCGATATAATTTGGTTACCACTTAGGACTAAACAACATGAAAGTGGTTCCAGTCGACAATCAGTTTGGATTTTCGATTTGAAAGATTTCGAAATCAAAATATTTTCAAACTTTGTAGATAAAAGGTGATGTTCACCTTTGGGGTTTAACAGATCACCTACTTCTTTTGGGTGATGATTGAAAGGGAAACGGAAATTTAGACCGCGGCCAGATTCGAACTAGTGACCACCGGGTTACCAGTTCGGTGTTCTACCAACTGAGTTATGAGATCCAACTGCTGACCACATTTTTATTTCATTTCAATCACCAAGGGGTTTTGTCTGACTGCCATGTGAATTCTTGACGTATTACTGCAGCTCTATCGTTCTCATACTGACTGCTCAGTTAGAACTTCTCATCCAAATCCAAATCTACTTGAATCGAAGAGGGGGAGCATTGTGTTGATTATCATTTTGACTATTTGAGATAGTCGGGGTTCTGTAGGGTTTTATTGATACTGGATGATGATTGAAGGTGAAAAGAAAATTTGGACTATGGCGGGATTTGTACCAGCGACCATCGGGTTTCGGTTCTCTTGCCCTACCAGCTAAGCTAAGAAATCCGACTGCTGACCAGATTTTTATTCTAGAGATAAGTGAATATGAAACAATTGATTCAGAGTCTAGTCAGTGGTTCAACAGTAGAGTATTTATTGTAAAACCTAAGGGTCGCATATCCCACCTCATCAGCTGTTGACAGAACATACAGGTAAAACATCATAAGTTAGTATGATCAGTCTCACCCTAATAGTTTTTTTCATCTGAAACATTCAGTCCCCTTTATGAATTTCGATAGCATAATTGGAAGACGAAGATTATCTGAACAATATGATGTATTTGCGCAATACATTTTCGAAAAATCCACTCGATCACACATTTACTTGTCAACTCAACATGTATATATTGAAATAAAAACAAAAAGTGGAAGGATAAATACAAGAATTAACATAATAGGGGACTGAGATTACGAAAGATGAGAAGAAACATAGTTGATCGTAATCTTGGCAAGAAAACAAAGTTTACCAAGGTGGGTGTAGTGTAAGATCAACTTGTTTTTGTACACATAAACGTGGTTTCAGTTTGTGCATGGCTGTGGCTTTATCAAACCTCAGTTTACGTCCTTAACTGTTTGAATGTAGATTTTGTGACCTGTTTCTATGATGTGTTTAGCTATAGATGACGAGGGTCGTCTTCCGCCAGCGTTAATCATGGTTTTACACTCCGTTTGTTTTTGAAGCCATTTCAGAACATGTTCTCTCACTCTTTGTTTTGTCACCAAGATTAGGATCAACTATGTGAACTATTTTGTTCTCATCTTTCTTAATTTTATTCCCCTATCATTGGTTTATCCTCCTACTCTCCATATATATATATATATATATATATATATATATATATATATATATATATATATATATATATATATATATATCACATACCATAGGATGCAATGAACTGGTTTCAATTTCCATCCAGTTAAATAAGGATAGGAAATATGTTTAGTGTCATTAAATATTGGCACAATCGAATGACCTGAAACAAACATTCCTGGCATACAAATAAACCAACAGGCAAGTACGTGTACATACTTAACTACATTTAAGCATAGTAGAATGCACACACATCCACTCACACATATTTATACGGATAAAAAGAAATCGGGTAGATACCAAAAAAGTGATATCCCTAAATTAGGCCGTAAAACTAATTGGTAGTTGTAAAGAAATTGATTTATTTTTTCTCCGTACCAAAATGTAGAAGAAAGGCGATTTGGTGAAATTCAGTGTACTGTTATGCATCTTTTATCAACTAAACTAATTTTCGATAAAGGGAACAGTTTGGTGTAATGGGATAAATGAGATGACTTTTAGTAGAAGAAGAAAAAAATTTTTTATTTATCTAAAATTACGCCTAATTTCTTTTGATAGGAAGAAAGACAAAGAAAAAAGCGTGAAGAAGAACAACGTAAAAGAGAAGAACGAGAACGTAAAAAGAAGGAGTGGGAAGAGCGTAAAAATGCTAATCGACCAAATTTCGTTATCACAAAGAAAGAGCCAGGTGTAAGTTAGCCTACTTCTAACTATGATTTGTTACATTACAGTTTATAATTGTACATGAGGAATGTAGGTCGAATGATAATTGTCTTTGTTATCGTCTATCCAGTAAAGTGTTTAGGATATGTGCATGACGAATCAATCTCCACAAAATTGGTTTTAGTAAAAGGTTGGGCATGATTAGACAAAGATGTAAGGTCTATGATTGTCAGTCAGCGCTAAACAGGGAGACGAAATCTTACTGATTTGGTGTTCCTGATCTATAAATCGATGGTAATGGATACCATGTTCGAGATTTCTTCTTCTTCTTATTATTATTATATTTTGAGGGGGTTGTGGAGATTTGGAAATATTTCAAGTTGTTATTCATCGAAGACTGACATCAGTTGGAGGAACAAAGGAAACCTGGGAGCACTGGACAGCTGTTTCGTCCTAGTTTGGGACTCCTCAGCAGTGCGCACCCACGACCCGATGAATAACAACTTGAAATATTTCCAAATCTCCACAACCCCCTCAAAATTTTAATTGAACTAGTGCTCGTTGGTGACTAGCTTCGAGAAGTATTCCCGAAGTTCCAATGACAAGTCGTGACCGGTGGAGTCAAGCCTGATGGCCGTGAGGACAAATACTCAACGATGACATTGGGTGGCGGTTTGCGCTATTATTATTATGTCTACTGCCCACTTTTGATGAGTATGCCACAAGGATGAAGAAGAACACTTTGTATCTGAATACTTATAGTCAAAAAGATATTCTACTCGTGTATGAACGTTGTGCTTCATTGTGAGTGAATAACAGTTTCTTTGTTTCCATTGAGATGTTAAAATTGTTAACACAATTACCATAGATAATAATGAGATAGCTAAACAACATTGATTTGCTTTATACACTAAGGTCATAATACAGTGAGTGTGTAGATGAATGTGTCCTTGAAGTATCAGTTTCCATTTACCAAGAACTGTAAGCAAGTTTACCAGTCTTCTGTGTGTTTATCAGTGGCATAAGAACGCTATTACAGATTCCTATTTGGTCAATTTAATTGTCTTTCGTATGTATTTAAAGTTTGTCAGACAAACAATTTCCAAGATGGATGTCTGAAGAGTTGGAAAAATTTATTTATAAACATCTCATCTTTCTTCAAGCAATTCTTCTGCAAAGTATAGTTTTCTCTGCAAATATTTCTTGGGGATTATTTGTATACTATATCCTCTGGATAACAGTACTGTCTTATATCCTTTTATTGGCGACTAGAAGTCATCCATCATCCATGTAGATCAACCTAGGACCAGGCATTACTGCCTAACGGTCCGAGTTGTCACAGCTGATATCAGTACATGAAGTAGAAGGGTAGTGAAGTGGAAGATGAAGAAACGAAAATTCACTCAAAAGAAATATAAAGTACGCAAAAGATTGAAATGACTGATGAGAGAATGATGAGATTCGATATAATGTAAAGATGAGGGTAATGTATATATACATCTACGCCACTGACATCGGTTCTGAGCCATATCACCTAGAGTCTCTAACCACTGGTTCCTCTTGTCTCATGGACCCAACCACCTAGTCTGCATCACCTCACATGGCTTAAACTAACAGTCAAACACTTCATACATTGATGCCATGTTTTCATCTGACCACCTTGAGCCTAAACCTACTTCTGTTAGATGTTTCATCCCATTTTTGATGAACACCTAAAGACAGGTTGAACGCATTCATGAGTAACTGTTTAATACAGCTGATCGTAGAACAATATTCAATTGTCTTTGAAATATTCAGCTATATCTATGTTTAGTTACAGTGGATCGTGTGATGAATCAATAAGGATTGACGTCTTATATCATTATTTAACCAATTTTTGTTTGACGGGTAGTTTTTACTGAGTGTTATGATGATAAGATTTATAGTAACAATTTGTAAACTTCATATAGTAATAAGATAGAATGAATTTATGCTTGAATTATCGTTTTACATTTGGTTGTGCAGTTTCCTTTAAACTTCTATAGAATTGACAAAAATTAGTTGGATACTTGTAATGAACGTAACCATATTATAAATTATTTAATGATATTGTCGGGTTAAATTGATGATTATTTATAAGCCAGTGATTTGTATATTGTATTTAAACTTATATTGAAAAGAAAGTGTATCTGTTTGAATGTACACGAATCTATACATTTTTTTTTAGGTTCTAGAAACACAAGAAGAGAAGAAAGAAGAGGTTACAAAGTCAAAAGAACAATTGGAAGCTGAAAAGAAAGCAATATTAGAACAACGTATTCAACCATTAAATATTAATGGTTTCAATGCTGATCAATTGAAAGTAAAAGCTAAGGAATTACATGATCTTATTTGTCGATTGGAAGGTGATATTTATGATCTATCTCAACGTTTCACACGACAAAGTTATGATGTAATTTTCTTGTTAATTCTTTAGATGTAGATTTCATGTTATCTAATATTTTATTAATGGTACACATAATATAAAGGTTTACACTTTTAGTTATCAATTATTAGGTTATAAGGTTAAAATATAGATCCACTTTTATCTAGAAATTTCATCAGCTGCTAGATGATAAGTATGAGTATACAAGTTGATTTTTGACTTGTAGATATTTCATAAATTTATAAAGGCGCCTAATCAACTCTCATCTGTTTCCATTTCCAATTCATATGGGTCATAGGTCAGTAGTATGGATACAGCCCCGAATGATGTTAACTACAAATTAGAGGAAATATTATTTAGAATGATTGATCTGAACCATTCAACATTATATATTCTTAAACTTTCAAGATAATCTTATAGACAGAAGGAGAAAGGTATACAGTAAGAGGAAAAGTAGTTTGCACTTATAAATTTTAGAGAATGAAATGGTGGCCTCATTTCTCACAATTCTAATCATTATCAAACGACTAGCTTCCTATGGTAATCTCATAGGGTAATTAGAATAGTTCTTAATCTATTCTAAATGATATTCACTGATGAGTGTCAGTGTAGTCAAGTCTTTTATTCTAATGTTATTTTCTTGGTGATAACTAGTAATAGAGTCTAGGAGGTGCATTTCGACCTTTATGAGATTCCTCAACTGCATATACTTAAATCCCAGGGAATAATGGTATTCAAACTTTTTATTTGAATGAATCCAGTGTGCATGAAAATAATTACAAGCCGATTTTAATCTCTTTTTCAGATGCAAGAATTAGCAGAACGTGCACGTCAAATAAACAAAGGGTAAGTTGTTTTGATACAAGAGTTTATAGTCAGTGGAACATATGCTACTGCTTTTTAAAGCTTAGTTTAGGACTGAAAATAAACTTTACTGAGTAGTCAAGTATGAATGTGATTAGTGACAGTTCATTGTCAAGATTTTGACAGGCCTACTATGCTCTAAATCAATAACTAAGTGGTTGAAAGTCTTGAGTTCAGTTACCCACCCCCCTAGAGACGAGTCCCGAAAGAGGACTAAATATCTATACAGTGCTTCGTGAATTTCAGAGGTTCTCTGACTGACTTCATTTCCATGATAATAAGCTTTCTAAATCTAACTGATCAGAGGATGATGGATTCATTCAGAGATCTGAATCCCCTATAGAGTCCAGAGAACGAACTAGTCACATAAGAGTACCATCTTCCTACTTCAAATGGGTTAGTTACGCCTGTTTTCATCCCACCAGAAGTTGAAATGATTTCAAAGGATAGATTGATAAGTTTTTGACAATTAAGTTATAAAAGTTAATCTCTTGATTACTTCAAGATGTTATTTTCCACACCTCACTTAGTGGACGTCACGATTGATGTCTGTTCATATATTACTTCAATCTACTTTGAAAAATTTCCATGTTTTTACTCCATAGAGGCAAAGCGAAGGCTATTGCGAATGCACCGGATCCATTAGCTGCTAAATTCAGTGGTATTCCGGTAAGTTTGAATATGAATTTTTTCAATTGAACATTGATCTTAGCTGCTACACAACAAATTGTTCTTTTTAATTTTATATATTCGCCTTAAAATCTTTTATTTCACGGAGTTTTTCGTTTTGTTTTTAGCCTATGGTCGTTATGTATAGTCAGTACGAACGTGTCAAAGATCCACGATCATTTAAAGATCGACGTACTGTCTTCTCCGGCGCTAATTATACAGACGAATACCAACGTATCCCACCTTCACACGCAGTCGTCATGACAGAAGAAGGCTTCCAAGTAGTCGGTGGCGCTGATGGTGGACACTCAGCTCCAGCTCCCGCTGCTGAAGTTGGAGCGGAGTAAATGACTCTACAAGCAACAATAGTCTTGTTATGACTACAATCATTATTAACACATTGACCAACAGTCATTTTCAGTTTCTTTGCATTTCACTTTCTGCTCTGGTTTCTTTCCCACTGCCATCACATTTACTCCCAATGTCCGAATCTCTCATTTTTATGTCACAATGAAAAAATTTCGTTTATCTTATTGTTTTCTGAGCTTGTAACAGGCTAAATTATGCTCTTGCTTTCCCGCCTTTTCTATGAATTTCGAAATGTATGAGTTATCATTGATGCCTACTTCCTCACCTTTTTCTGCAACATGTATCCAACTATATTATTTTTAACTAATAAGTTGTCTACAGATGTGTTCAACTTATTGTTGATCGATCATGCCATCATGGAACATACTAACCTTCAGAGCGAAATTGTTCGACCTAAAAACCAACCCTAACCTTACTAGACTGTGTAGCTTATTATCATTGTTGTTATGATTTCCCATCTAATGTCGAATAATATCTCCTTACTTAATAAATGATTTTGTTTTATCTTACTGGTTTATTTACTGATGTAAACTAATTTGGCAATATTGTTAATCATAAACGTTACTGAAGGAAAGTCACTGAATTACATTCGAATAGTCGCATAATTTATTAGTTGAATTATGCATACTACTAGCAAAACTTAAGTAGATTGTCCGTGATTACTAAAATTAACCACAAATACAAATCTCATACATTTATTCACGCAACTGAGTATAGGATTGCAAGGTTACAGATTACATAAATAACGAAAAAACAAGTATTATTGACTATAGTTTTCAGGACGTTCATGGGGCAAAACCGTGCATTTGATTTTCGTTTGTTTATGAGACGTTTCGTACAGCATTATTTACCGGATAACGTTTCGAACACGGTTTATTGTCTATATTTATATGAATACGAACCCATAAACCTATTTTGGAATAATCACATAGCTTCCGATATCTTGTTTTCATTGTCGTGTCACTTCGCGTTCTTAGTTTTCGATGGTTGTAGAATTGTCTACGCCACTTCTATCTCATGTGTAGGGAGTTTATTGATTTGCTGAATAATTACTCAGTAATCAGTCTCTCTCCCTCTTTCATTTTCTCTACCTAAGTGGATTAGACTTTATTTAGTACGGTTTCTTTGTCCCGACCTATTTTGTAAGTGAGTGGCAGTATATTCATTCGCACGACTGAGCTCTTTTCTAGGTTATTCATCATAATGGGATCTGTCATTTACAATTTAGCAAAATGTCTGTGCTCCAATAACTTAATTGATGCTGATCAGTTGGTATAAACTATGCTTATGACTCCTACACTCATAGCACACATATTTTTGAGAACACACAACGTTGGGGATGGCAATCCTACTCCTAAGGTATGTTGTTAATATGAGTTGGACACGTTTACTGGGATTGAAATTGGAATACATTGATATTTTACTTAACAGTAAGAAAATGAAATAGGTGAATCAATTATGTTAAGTTATAAACTGAATCGAAGTTCAGATGATGGTTTATGCGCTATTGTCTACAAGAAAAAATTCAAGTCAGTTGCCTTATAAAGGTGCTACATGTAAATTTCCTGTCTGACACTACAACGTAGTCTTAAGATTATGCCCAAAGGTAAACTGGATGCATTAGGCATAACGATTACATGTAACGACTATGGGAAGATATAAATAGGTCAAACCAACTGATCAGTATCAGTTAGGTTATCAGAGAACAGAAAGTTCTCCAAATTTCTAATGATAGACCTAACTATGATGAATAATCTAGAAAGAAGCTCATGTATTCCAATCCATGTGCTGGGACTTACTCATACAATAGAATGGAGCAGAGCAAGTATACTAAATAAGATCCAATATACTTGGCTAGAGAAAGCTAGAGATAGACTGATTGCTGAATATTTGTTCAGGGAATCAACTAGCACTCATCACATGCAATAGGAGGAGTGATGCAACAGCTAGTCTGGAGATGCACGAAATTCTACAACCATCGAGTACAAAGAACGTGAAGAGATAGAATTATAAAAACCAGATGTCAAATGGTGTGTGATTGCTTTGAAATATGATTGAAGGCATCAGTTTGTTCGCAAAATATCCTCCCTTATATAATCTTGTGTGTTTCTGTAAGTTTGATCAGTTAGATAAAACTAATATGCAATAATATTTATGTTTCTTACACAATCTAATCAGTATGAATTCCAATCCTTGTTTTCACTCACCTTTACCCAGAAAAATAATTAAAATAACAATTATAGGATGAATCACTTCTCATAGTATACTTTTAATTCGTATTATTACTATAAAGTGCTATGCTAAAGTGTATTGACAACCTTATTAGATAGCAAAGTTTAACATTTAGTATTCAATGTAACCTTGAATTATCGGTTAGAAAGAAGAATGTAATTCAGCTATACTGTTTGTTACCTCCTAGAATATCAGATGTACACTTAGAAAACTGTAGACAATAAAAGTCATAACATTTTCGATATACACATTAAATGTTACTAATAAATGAAATGATCCAATTGGATATTTCTGACACAAGGAGATTTTTCAACTATCATCCAGTAGTTTCATTGGAAATCACTGGATAAAGATTGGACGTTGTTATCTCTTACATATTAAAATAGTTTTTGTTTTTCACACATCTATTCAATATGATGAAGATAGCCAAACAATAACAACGACAACAAGCAACAATCACCATGGACGGGAGAAATCTAAAGGGAGTTGTCTCTTTCACCTACCACTCTACCTAGGCAGCATCGTCTCAACTACAGGTGGCACAGGAACAGATGAGGATGTCAAAGCCAGGATCAGAAAGACAGTAAGACTGGACGTCATCAGCCCGAAGCCAGTGTGGAGATCTATTGCACTCCACTCCACTCAGCATAAAGCGTGAAGTGTCCGGATTTTCAACACCAATGTCAGTCAAGTGAGTCAGTGTTTCTATGTAATACTTTAGAGACTTGGAGGGACGTTATGGAAGGCATTTCTAACAAACTGAAGACATACATCATGAACAGCTATCACCTACGTTCGCTCTCTCTCTCACTCAATACTGACACTGAAGATGAGATGAGATCAGATGGCCAGAATAACAAGAATAAGCAACAGGGAACTCTGGCCTGGCAACAAAGCAACCAACAACCCATCACCCAACAAATATGCAGAAAAGAGTGGAGATGGATTGGGCATACAGTGAGAAGACCATTCGGGGACATCACATGCCAGGTTAGGCCAGGCTGTCGAGTTGAACCCGAATGGGAAACAACGAGTTGGGCATCTGGGCCAAGGGTGACATGGAGGAGATGGTGTGAGGAAAGAATGAAAGCTTGTGGGTAATGGTGGAGGCAGGTTGAGAATACTTTAGAGAAGAGAGTGAAATGAAGACGTGCTACTGAAACCTTATATTCCACTAGGAACCCAAAGGACAAATAATAATAATAATAATAATAATAATAATAATAATAATAAATAAATAAATAAATAAATAAGTAAATAAATAATCCTATATTGTATATTTTCTTCCCAAGAATATTCACCAACCGACATCTATCACTTCTTACATTTCCCGGCCTCATCCTACATACTTATTTTGCATTCTGTCATGTAGCTTTCATCAGATATATTTACACATAGAACACTAACACTTTTATCTTTATTCCATAGATGCTGATTATAAGTTGTTCTGTTCACAAACATTTTCTGGTGGTTTGGTTCTTATTTATATATAAAAATATGATGATCTGTACAGGTTTTGCTTTCTAGAGTGCTAATTTTTACACGAAATCAGAAAGTTTGGGATACACTAACTTCTTTACAACTGTGAAACATTTTAATATGCGAATAATTGTGAAGAACCGTAAAACAGATTGCATTTAGAGCAAAAGTATGAAATGGTACAAAGAAAGGAATACTAGTTAATAGTCTATGCTGCTTATATATTCGGAGGTGGCTAACAATAAGATCAAGGATGTATATTTCGACCTGGTTGACACTAGTCAGTACATTAATCACTATTTTTATTCCTACTGTGACTGGTTCGCTGCATCTTTTGCTTCAGTCGACAGCATTCTAATAGAAGCACTAGTTTTTAGGTACATTCAGCTGATGACTTTCGTATAGAGTGAAACGTAGATCAAATCAGAGACTAATCAGGTGAATTTAGTGTCTCAACAATGACAAATGTCAAATGTATTTAGTGACAAAGGAATGTGCTACTTACAAGAATTAAGTAGCCTGATTTCTTGTTGTGAATAAGTAAGGAGAAACTTCTTTGCCAATGTAGGAGTAAAACTTGACTACTTACTGTGGTAGATTTTTTCTCCTTCTTTGTGTTGACAAGGATAGTAGAATTTTCTATATATCCGGAACAAGTGCAGAATCATTCCTGTTACTGTGTGTATTTGGCGTTTATTTCATAAACAAAGAATCGATTATCAATCTCTCCTTCTACGCAAATAAGTTGGTTTTCAATGCTCTCGCTCTATTCCACCCCACTGTGTAACTGAATGCAGAGTAATAGCCAAGCTTTTTTCTGAATTTCTTATCTTATTAAGATCTACTAATCTTGTGGAGTTTTGGCGTTACTTGATATGAATACAGACAATAAATGATAATGTTTCACTGTGTGATACTGTTGATAATAGACTAAAATGGGGCTAATAATCAATATGGTGATTCGAGGGGACTAAGTTATTGGTTCCACGTTGGTACTCATTACGAACTGACGCTAGTTGGCAAGTGACTGCAAAGGTTCTGTTTCCTCCTAGTATGGGACTACTCAGTGGACGAACCGGAGACTGGTTATGTGACCAAGACGTTTCCCCTGGGTCCTGGAGTTGGGGTCTCGTGATCCACACTTTCTATTTCTGTCAATTCATGATATATCGGTACCTCAGCCCGATACCGTCGTTCAATTACTATTTTCATGTCCGAACTGATCAGGCCTCACTGATTACAACTTCTCACTAGAACTTCAGAAATCTCATATTGAAGCGAGTCACTAGTGAGCGCTAGAGTTCAACCCCTGGTAGGGTCATGAGTGTGCACTACTGAAGATTCCCGTACTAGAACGATACAGAACCTTTGCAGTCGATCGCCAACTAGCGTCAGTTCGTAATGAGTACTAACGTGAAAGACTAATAATCAATCAGCGCCAATCTTCCCTTCAAGTTCAGGTTGATGCTGATTAAATTATGCATTAGTGTGACATAATAACTGAGTTGAACACATATCATTTTGAAGAGAACTCAAAACTGGTTAAATGTAATGTCTTGTAGCTCAGTACAGCATTGTATCAAGGTCTCATAGGCCGATGGTTTGAATCCTTTCGAAATCTAAGGTTGTTCAAGGTTGGTCAGAATTCTCATGTCATTATGTGATAGTTTCTTTCTGTAGTTACCGAAAATACGTGCGATAAGTGCTTTGATAAACAAAAAAGGCATCATTTTTATTAAATTTCATGCTGAAAACAGACACAAACATTAGAAAGCGTCAACAATAAAGCCAGTGGTCAGATTACTGCAGACACCAGAAGAAAAGTCTTTGTACTACATATCAAAATCAGTCGAATAAAGA